CCCCGCCATTTTTCTTTATGTTCTTCAGGAGGAGTCTACCGGTCGAAGTCAAGCCGAAGACGCGAAAGATGTCTCGACGGCCGCTCTCGGCAGGGCTAACGCAAGGATCGCCGAGCTCACGTCCAAGTCTGCTCAGCTGACCAGGTAAGGCCCCCTGCTGCCGCTTCTCAACCGATGTTACTGCTGTTGTTCGCCGGCTCTCGTGTCTGAGGAGTTTAGACTAGATTATTATTTTCTTTGATTTGTCTTGCATATCTTGGGAGGAATCAGTAGAGAGGACGTGTGTGTGCATTCGTCTCACCCATGCTGGTGCCAGCCTCAGCTGCTCGGAAAGAAAGAAGAAGCTGCAAAACCTACGAGGGGTAGGTCTACATAGGGATTTGGTGTCGAAATGCCGTTGTAGCAAGTGTGTGTTCGGTACGGTACGTACCGAGGTATACCGCCGGTATTGCCGCCGGTATATACCCTACCCAGCGTCTCGGTACCCTTCGGTACAGCCCTCCATACCTACTGCAATCCCGGTACGCCTCGGTAGACCTCCATACCTACCGAAAATCTCGGTATGGCCCTCCATACCTACTGAAAACTCCGGTACGCCTCGATACAGCCCTCCATACCCTACCGAGCGTACCCATACTGTACGGAACACACCCTTGCGTTGTAGTGTAGGGACAAAAACCTGTACGGAAAATTGTCAGCATTTTCGTCATCATTCCCGTTAACGACAAGTACCGGAGTCAAGGATCACACACCAACGACGACGAGGAAGTACCAGGACTACGAGTATGTTCTTGAATCGATGTCGTTGGGGAGGCTGTTTCGTTGAAGCGTCGTCTGTAAGTCGTAAGCACGGACGGTAGCAGCTTCTGGGGCCGACCTACAAAAGTGGGTAAGAGTGGTGTACGAATCGCGAGAACTGCTGTGCTTACCCTGGCACACGTCCCGCTCGATGAAATAGCTCGATCTCTCTTGATACATCCACGGGCAGCACTCAGCAGTCAATTGCGCAAGGCAGGGTAGGAGGGAGTAAACCACCGCATTCATTTTCTTCATATGGTCATAGTCCTGCCAAACGCCCGACAACGCGCTGACTTTTTCTTTCGTTCTTCTCTTCTTTTTCCGTCCTGTCTCGCTGTTCTTGATCCGTCCTCGCTGTCTGTTGGCGACCAACACCTGTCAGAGCACGCTCGGCGATGGTGGCTCAGATCAATGCTCTTGAAGAGCAGTTGAACTCCGCCGCACTCAAACAGGCCGCCGCGGCCACCGTGGGGCGAGCCGTCGAGACTAACACGACGGACAGCGGCTCCGTTGCCGGCTTCTCAACGCCCTTGCGAGGTAAATAGCTTCCTTTGTCTTGATAATAAGCTTTCTTTTTCTTTTTCTTTTCTTGTCCAATGAAGGCGTTGGTTGGATCACAGTGAAAGGCGTTGCAGCATTAGTGGTCGACGAATTGCAGGATGTAGGGATCGATCGTGACGGATTGAGAACATCAGACGGGAACACCGTAACCAAATCAAGCACAGCAGTTTTTGCGCAGAGAAGGCTGTTGGCCAACATAGTTTCTAACCCCCTACGCAGGCAGCGCCGCAGCTAAACGCTTCCCTATCTTGCCGTTCCTTTGCCGTTTCTTTCTTTCATTTCCTCCTTTGCTTGTCGCGTCCCCTTTCTTCTGTTCTTTTGTTCCTTTCCTTCACCGACGTCGATCTTTTCCGTTTGTCGCTCTCGTACTATTCTTTCGTCCCTCTCCTTCTGTTCTCAATTCCATGTCTTATCCTTCTTTGCTTCTTTTACCCCTCCCTCAGATTTGTCCGAGGGGCCGCCTCCGAGCCAACCGCCGATGAGCGCCGACCCTCCCATGCGGCAACGCCAGCGGCATCGCCTGAGCGGGGCGGGCCTTAGCAGCGGCAACTTGGACTTAGAAGACGGGGGTGGATACTTTGACGAGGATGAAAACAAGGTAAGATTTCGCTCTTTTTCTCCGTCCATAATTTTGTGATTGTTTGGAGCGGTTCATTTGGGATGTAGAAGAAGAGGTGGTCTGGAGAGCTGCATGTGTTCTCGGAGTGGGGACAGTTGTAGGTCGAATGACTCACGGAGCCCCTCCCCATTGTGCGTGAAGCTGAGCAGAGAACCACACCTTACTCTGGTGCGCTTGTTTGTTTGTACACGACGATACGAACGTAAGAAAATATGCTTTTCACGCCCTTGTTTTGGCTTTTGCCCTCTGCGACTGCTTTTCCTGTGCATTGTTAACCTCAGGCACAGGCCAAGCCCGGTGACCACATCAAGTCCCTCCTCATCTCCTGCGCTTCGAGCCCGGTGGGAGCGGCCATCTCCGAAAGGCTGCCCGGGCTAGTGACCTGGTTGCACCAACAGCCCCCACAGGTGTGTCACGAACGAACGAACGAACGAACGAACGCATGCATGCATCGCAAGCAAGGACAGACGATTGATCATGTTAGTATATTTTCAGACAGAAATCCTCGTCGTTGTCTGCGGTTTAACTACATAATAGAGTACACCCTCGATTTTTTTTTTTCCTGTGAAAAGCACACCTTCCATCACGCTCAACCCCGCCACGATAAAAGCCGACACAAGTCGCAAATGACTGAGAGCATCGAGCATAGACGCCAGGTACACGTTGGGCGTACTTGCACACCTACCCCAAGCGCAGCTTTGGTAGCACGCACGTATCTACAGCACGCATGATACAGCAGCACGCCACAGCAACGGTCGTTCCTTTTCGCGTACGGCAACGAACTCTCCGCATGACACGAGACAACGAACCTTGCTACTGCTATACTGCGTATCCCTATCCATGGCGATGAAAAGCAGGGGGATTTGCGGCCGCTGTTCTCAGCTGGGTTCGAATCCTGACGCGTTCCCTTTTTTTTCCGCGCATGTCCAAGTATTATATCCCGATTGTCCAGAGATGTCATACAAAGTCGATTATTGACTAAGGTTTAGACAGGTGTTACCATTCACGCACGCAACATCCTGACTTGGGGAAAATCTGACATGTCAAAAGAGCAAGGATGGGCATGGTCGGTCAAACACCCTTGCACGGTAAGGCACTTGTAGGTACACTACCAAACAACCCGATATTCCACAAATGGCAGTGACGAAGGACAATTCTCTTTTTGTTCTGAAGGCGGAGAACGTGCCCTTGTTCACGTCCGATACATACCCTGCTCCTCTATTTGTTTTTCCTCTGGACCATCGTTCGGGTGAAGTGCGGTCACAGCGGCTGCATGGCCACACCAACCCAACCGACGCCACACCTACCAATCATGTGCTCAAACAAGATGCCGCCCCACATCCATTGTACACCTACGACATGATCCCCACACTAGTCATTGTCATTCCTAACAACTCCGACCAAAAGACTGCGGCCGCAGTCGTCCACAGACGTGAGCGGAGTTGTTAGGAAAGTTGGCATCATGTCGTAGGTGTTGCGGATTTGGGGCGATATCTTGTTGGAGCAAGTCTTGGGAGAGTCGTCGGAGGGGATAGCCTTGGTGTTGCAGCCATTGTGACCGCACTTCATCCGAATGGTGGGTCCAGAGGAAGAAAAATAGACAAATAGAGGAGCAGGGAATCGGCCTACATAGAAGTACATTCGCATGTTCTATGTGTCCAACTTCCCACGTGCACCGTGGAATAAAAACATTGCTCTTTCGTACTTACGTGTGCCGGGGTGTTGAATGCGGTCCTTCCATCTCCCTGTTCTTTGCTGTACTATACGCATCATGGGCCTGGGATTCCCGTCCTTTATTTTGTCCTCTCGTTGTCCCAATGTTGATTTATTCCCTCGTTCTTCCTTCCTAATCAGTTGCTGCAACGACGTCACCTTCGCTTAGCAACGTTTGTTTCTCCGAAACCGGGTTTGCCCTTGCATTGACAACAAACCTTTGCTTGCGATCTTATGCACAAGAGCTTGTTCGCAGTTATGGGTTACTGTACTTTCGATTTTTCAATATTCTTTCCATTCATGAACGATTGCTTCTTATCTTACGCAAAACGCATGAAGGAGAACACTCATGCCCAACGCCGCGCGGGTATCGGCGACCCCACCGTATCGCCCCTTCCGCATGTCCATCTCAAAAACATCACACAAATACCAACACGACGGAAGTCTTATAAGGAACAGCACATCGCGCGAGGCGATTTTTGCCCTACCCACAAATTCCCATCAGAAGTCAAAATCTGTTTCCCCGGAATACGTATAGTACCTTTCTTGTTGACCTCCATCACCTTGTTGCACCACCGCCCAATGGGTTGGGGAGTGGGCGCTACTTCACCCTAGTTTTCTCATATGGTCGGTCGGTTGTTTCTGTCAGTAGTTTTACATTTTTGGTTCAAATGGTTTCTCCTTGTCCGTCGAGCGCGTATTTTTTTTTGCATTATTTGCGTTGTGTACTTTGGCGGGCCGTTAATAGTCGATTTGAGTGTTCGTTACGCCCCGCTTTGGCGCTTTCGTCCGAAGTATTCGGATACGTCCGTGTTCCGAGTGCTCTGTTTTTGATGTTTGCGTCGATTTTTACCCCGTATCCCCCTTCTCTTCCGTTGGACTCCGGCAGTTCTCTCTGTGTTCCCTGTTCGTGCTGCGTGATGTTGCGTGTTTCGCGTTCCCACTTAACGTTCCGTATTGTCTGTGCTCTATTCCACGTTTGGTTTTTCTTTCCGCAACGCGTTCGTTTCACCTACTACCAACCTCAGACGTTGCGGGAGACAGCGATAGCATGCTTTCAGCCATGGAGTTAGCATTTTACTGTTCCGTTTCGTGTTCCATTTTCGTTTCCTTAAATGTCCCGGGTATTGTCCTGTCCAACGTTCCGTTTTATACGTCCCGCCATCCCGTCGTCCTCCAACCGCAGACGTTGTGGACCGCAGCAATTGCCTACCTGGCACTGGTTCACCTGCTGGCGGGGTACAAGACAATAACCTGCTGAACTGAACCAAACTCAGCCTGACTACAGCTGTATCCTCGTGCGGTTCGGTTGTTGTTTGCCGGTGGTACCATTGGTAGATAAAAACGCAGGTAGCGCCCTCGGTGTCGTCGGCTTGTTGCTCGATGGATGAGTGGTCTTGTGTACGGGGTAGTCAGGTATCGAACTATCATTACGTCGTGGCTGGTGCGACGGTGCGTTGGCTCTGGCTTGTCCTCGATGGGTTCCCGCGTAAGGCATGTACCCCCCGGGTGCGACGAGCTGGGCTAGGAATACCACGGGAGGCTGGTCGTCGAGCTGCTGCACCCACTGAGTTTTTCGCCCCCCTCTACATTTATCGCGTGCTGCGGCGGGAACTAGACTATCGCAGCCGCACGAATGCCTAAGACGTTGAGGTTCTGCTGTAGCAGTGGTGATACTCTCGTTTTTTTGCTGCTATTTGGGAACGAACGCAGCCGCGAGGTGAACTGGGGCAGCCTGCCGGAAAACGCCTCATTACATTCGCGCTAGTGGTTGCAGAAGGCCGCGCTTGCATCGTGCAAGGCATACAAAACACTTTGTCGCGTGCTGGTGAACCACACCCTGGCGTTCTACATGTAGTCTATGAGTTTTTATCGTGGGTCGCCTCTGTTTCTCGCTTCGTGCGTGTGGGGGATGTGTTGTTCGAAAGGTGAATATAACGAGGCCGTAGTAGTCGAGAGCATGGAGCGTGGGCCGTTTTCAGTTGCGCTAGGGTAGTAGTGCCCCTATGGCGTCTTTGACGCCGAGGAGGATTTGGTACAACCACGGTGAGCGGCCTGCAGCTTGTACGTGCTCCATAAAGAATTGATTAGCCTGCTGACAAGCTTAGTGTCCGGCGATGTTTTTCGATCGGTGAACAACGTTTCCATTTGGTGAATAGCCTTCCGCCTTTTCTATGTCGACGCCCAATATCAAGAGGTTTACAATCTGGTTTCTCGTTTGGTTGCTCATCTGGGAATGACATCTATTTTGAAAACAAGTCGAGAACGGCCTCAACCTTCTCTCTCACCTCTGGTGGATTTTTTTTTTTTCAGTGAAGCGTTGTCGTTATTGTTGCTAGAGGGTGTATGGGTTTACGTTTTCATGGTGGATATAACCGGGGTCTTTGCAACCCATGACGGTTTTCGATACGAGACGAATCCAGCGGGGGGATGCTCGTGCGTGCGCCTGCTGAAAGCTGTTTCTTCATGACTGAACGTATGGGGAGTTGGGTCAAGAGTAATGCTCCGCACCCAGCTACACAACCTAACTTTGGGAGGTTAGTAGGTGCTGTGTGTGGGAGCGGGGGCGAAAGGGCGGGGCAGTCTCCTGTGATCGTTTTCTTCTCCTCGTATACGAACAAGCGTTGTGATCCGACTGGCGTTGTTGTTTTCTCTGTGTATCGGCTTTAAAACGAGACTCGAAAAAGCTCCAGTTTCATTCAACAGGTGTCCCCCAACCCTCGTTGGCACTCCTCTAGGCCGTACTTGGTTCCAGCTCCAATCCAAACCCCTATCCCTACCTGCATTTTCAGTACCCTCCTTCTCCACACACACACACACACATACACGGCCCCCGCCGAACAGGATGCTTGCACCCATCGCGACGATTCAATTACCCTTCGAGTATCTCGTGGCCTGATACTACTAAATACGTGCCTGCCGAGCACAAAATTAGCGGCCTTCCTTTCAATCATCATGGCAGAAGCGTGCATGACAGCTGTTGCTTAAGCCATACACCCCGTACCGTCGTGTGCCTCGTGCACGCCTCCCAACTAGAACAAGAGGCAGTTCGCACCCTACTGCTGTACCGATATAGCGCTCTCAAGAATAAATGCCGAATTCCAACAATGACGGATGCATCCATACTTGTTCTCGAGCCGTTTCCCCGATTTCCAAACTTCAACAACTGTCACTTCATATGGATACTCCACAGCTTTTGTTCCTGGCTGGGTGTCCTACGGCTTCCGAACCAACAAATAAATAACAAATATACTCTGTTGTAGCTACCGTCCACCAACACTTTAAATATTCGTCCTTCAGCTCTTCACACACATGTCAACATGTCAAGAGCACGTCAACACTACGATCCACTACAAGATTGAGAGTTGCGATTCAGTAGTCGAGTCGTCTGCTTTAAATACCTCACACTCTTTCATAGAGAACATCAACACATCATCGACAACAGTAGCAAAACCAAAGACAGTGACAGCACAACAGCATCGACAACAATAGCAAAACCAAAGACAGTAACAGCACATCATCGACAACACTAGCAAAACCAAAGACAGTAACAGCACAACAGCATCGACAACATTAGCAAAACCAAAGAAAGTAACAGCACAACAGCATTGACAACAATAGCAAAACCAAAGACAGTAACAGCACATCATCGACAACACTAGCAAAACCAAAGACAGTAACAGCACATCATCGACAACATTAGCAAAACCAAACACAGTAACAGCATATCATCGACAACATTAGCAAAACCAAAGACAATAATATGACAACAACAAGGACAACAATAGACACGACAACAACTGCAACAGCAACCAACAACATCAACTGGCAATTGTCCGTACCTCCGGGGGACTGTCTAGAATCACTCCAGCGCGCCATCGAGTACAGGGGTGAACACGTAAGGCGCAACCTGCAGCGGTATGTCGAATATCCGACGGCAACCAGGTGTAAGCCCGTCCGTACGACTGTGCCGAGTCACATGCATGCTTCACGACACCACCACCGGCATCAATGATGGGCTCTCTGGGCGGTTGGAATGAAGGGGTAATCTCTACCGGTTCCTATCAAAAACACGCCAAACCACAAGTTTCTATCACGTACACGTCGTAAAACGAACTGCTCGCAAGCGAAGCCGGTCAGATCGAAATCTTGACAAAATAAACACATCGAAAACCTTGATAGAAATAAATAAATCGACACCTTGAAGAAAGTTCATAAAACACGAGTCCTACGTGTAGAAAAAACAGGGTCACTAGACCAGGTTCTAAAAAAGCATGCCCACCAACACTTCAGGCACATACAGCATGCCTACTGCTATCGAACCGATGGGGGGCCAGTCTTGCGGTGGACTGTCACAAAAGAAAGCAGTGGTTGGGCCCTACGAATTATTTTGTCGTTAACCAAGAGGAATACGATGCGCTCGAGTGTTGCCCCCTATCCCCTACACTCCCTATCCCCGAAAACAGAGCAACAACACAACAAATTGCTTGTACAAGAGACATTACCGATTGCACTCCTCTCCCCCCTAGTCTAGTGGTCGTCCGTGGCAAGCTTGGTGAGCTGCCCCCCCCCCCGTCCCTAAAAAACAAGTTGTGCTTCGTGCCGCAGCTCTTCCCCCACTGAACCCCTCAAGCCAAACTCCCAAACTCCGGAACGAGATGGTCATCTGGTTTGTAGTCCCTGGCCCTTGTAGGATGAATATGACACCGGAGCAAGGCCCCGCACATTATGATCGATATCTTAAACTGCCTCCCCCCCGCCTCCCCTTGCGGTGTGTGCCCACGGCCATGAACACCATGCACCTTATCGCTCAGGACCCATCTGGAGCTTTACCGTGATAAAAACTCCCCCATACGCTACCGTCGGCCACTGCCATCACCGTGCCGAAGCGGCCTCTTGCCCCCCTCTTATTGTTGCCGGTGTTGTCTGGTGTGGCGTCAGGTCTTCGACCTCTTGACCTGTGGGTGAAACGTCAAGCATACGTATCGGCGATACGTGTGTATGGGTTATTGTCGCGATGCTACATATAAGACTGTGCTTTGAGGGATGCAGCGGCACCGGAATTTGTTGTACCCGCGGGCTGCTTGCGAAAGTGCAGGCGGGGGGGCTGGGAGTGTTTGAGAATGGTCACATCTCGATTGCAGAGCCCTAAATCTAGAGGATGGGATATGTGGAAATCCCTAAGTGTCGAAGCGGTGCGAGAGGGGGCACAGAAGAATCGCAGACAACTGTAGACGAATAAAACTAGGTTCCCAAGGTAGACGCATGGCTACAACTGCAAAAATCCGCCATGACTTTGTAGGCGAGGTATCCTTCACTATGATGGGCTCTCAGCGACACAACCTGGTTTGTCCTGGCACTACCTACACGGCTAGATAAACTGGAGAAGGAAGACGGCTAGGCGGCGAGCCCCTCCCAAAGTACAACGTCATACCTCCGGGTCCACCTCCGCATCCTCCCCCCCCCTCTTCCTCTTGCCCGCGCCGGCGTCGAGAGAGGTTCTTCCTTTGCACACCGCCCTTTCGGGCGACAAGTCGCTCATCTCGCCGTCCGTCGCTCCCATGCTCGAGGTGTCAGAGCCGCAGTCGCCGTCTACGGCAAACCGGGCCGGTCGCTTGCCGCTGACGGTGCCGAAGCCCTGCGGTAGAGGGGAGGAGGAAGGGCGAGGGGGGAAGATGTGCGGAAAAAACGGCGGTGGCGTGGGTGTGTCTGAAATATACACCTTTGCATATTGTATGGAGCGTGTTTTTTATACACGTGAGGACAGGGGCTGCTGGTACTGGGGCAGATGCTGCTACGGGAGACGCTGCTGACTCGCGCAGATCGCAGCACTGCCCACGCTACAAATGTCGTCCATACAAATGGTCCCGCCTTCACACACCGTGTCAAAACTCACCTCCTGCCCGCCGCTCCTTTCCTCCTCATCTTCTTCCTCATCCACTTCCTCCGCGATAGTGGCTAGCGGTCCGCCCACCACCAGACCCATCTCCTCGATACCCTGTTCTCCCGCCTTGGTTGCGCCCCCCACACCGTCGGCCCCCACCTCTCCGTCAAGGGCATCCGCTAGCGTCGGGTTTCCCGCCACCGCTCCCCCATTCGTACCCACGAACTCCCGCCGCTGCCATTGCTGGATGCGCTCCGCCAAAACGATCTGTTCCTCCAAAAACTCTGCCTCCGTTGCCCCCGCCGCTGCCATGTCTGCCGCGAGCTTCTCGTGCGCCGCCGCCCCCGGGCCCTCCACCAGCACGCGGAACTCCTTGAGGTCCTGGCGCACCTGCTCCCCGGCCGCAGCGAACGCCTCCTCCTGTTCGGCGAGGAACTCCTCTGTCCACGCGGAGTTCGAACTCACGCCGGCAGCACACCCCTCTGGCCTCCTCTCCGTTGACGTCTCGCGGGCCGTTCCCCTTGAGGTCATCGCCGATCCTGCTCGTGCCCTAGCCGCCGCAGCCGCGGCCGCTGCCGGCCCCGCTCCTCCCCCGACGTGCGACCTCAGGAACGCCTCCTCCTCGATGCGGAACTCCTCCCGGCACCTCGCCACCCGGCTAGCGGGTGCTTTCCGCAGTCCCCGCAAGCCCTCTGCCACCAGCCGCAGCGTCTGTTGCTCTGCGGACAGCTCCTCCTGGAACCTGGCTACGTGCGCGACGGGTGCGTACCGCAGTACGCCCAGGTTGTGCAGCCCCGCGAAGAGCTCCTGTTGCTCGGCCAGAAGCTCGGCGTCGCGCTCGGCCTGGAGCTGGGCCTGACATTCAGCCACGCGGGCGGCGGACTCCTGCCGAAGCTTGTCGAGGCCGAGGCAGGCGGAGAGGCCGCTCCCGTCCGTGTTCATTGCCGTGGCAACGAACACCACGCGGTTGAACCTGTCCCATGGCCCTTGCTTCGTGGGTGCTGCTGCTGCTGCTGCTGCTGCTGGTGACGATGTCGTGCCCGCGACCTCGCCCGCACCGAATGTCGGCAGAGTCTCGGGGTGTTCGGCCGTGAGCTTGACGCGCTTCGCGTCCTCATGATCCGGGATGCCGTCCAATCGCCCTCGCTTGTGCCCACCGCTGTTGGTCATCGTCGTTCGCTATTTGGTGCTGTTGGAACCGCTTGGTGTGTCGAACAAGCTCCTAAGCGATGTTACCGGTGCGTGGGGAAAAGGCATAGGAATTCAGTGTAGATTGAGGCACCGGGAATCTGGCTGTGTGCGGGAACGTTATCAAGAGAAGAACGGTTGTTGAAAGGAGGGCCGGTAGGTGTAGGTGCCCTGCGTGGACGTGGTGGCAACAGCAGCAGCGGGGTTGGTGGTGTGCCGTGGCTGGTGGCTGCTATGTGGTGGATACCCACATACTAAGTATGATATCTAGAAAAGAAGAAAAGCGGCCGGAAACGTGTCCGGACGTGGAGATGGACGGAGCAGACGAAAGCTCTAACACCAAGGCCGTTTTGTGGTTTGGCCTACAGAACGAAGACACCAAAGCAGCGGCAGCATGTCCTCCCATATTTAACAGCAGCAGCTCAGTGCACGGCATGGCGAGAGGGGAGCATCTTTGATGCAATGTGGCGCGTTGGTGATATCTGAGGCCAATCGGTAGAAAAGCGTTCTACGGCTTCGCCAAGCGGTACATGTGTAGTCTACATGGTGTGGTGTGGGTGTTTTAGTGGTTGCCATCATGACGAAAATGAGGAGGTGCTTCAAAAAGCTTGCACCGGTGGCAAGAGCTGTTTTGGTGAAGCACACAGCAGCTACGAGAGCAAGATGAAAGTCACAATTCAACGATGATACCGCGATCCCGACAAGTTCTACAACATGTATGTTGTTGTAGGCTGGCAGACCCTCGGAAGGGACGAGCAATGACACCCCCCGAAAGCCGAAGAAGCATCTTCCGAAGCTACTGCTGTTGCCTTCTTTGTCTGATCCCATCACGGCCTCCTTCTCGAGATGGGGGTGTACGTGTTTGAAGTCTGTGTGACGGTCAACAAGACCACAAGTTGGGGTTGTTATAGTCTTGAGCTGGGCACACCCTGTCCAACAGGGACAGGACAGCACAGGCCCTCGAGGTATGGGGGGTATTGCATGACATCCTGGGTCTAGCTACTCGCTTCCCCCCGACAACCCTGCTTCCGGTGCGCTCTCCAGCAGACACAGAAACATGCAACCGAAACAGCTGGGCCTCTGTGAACCCATCCGCGGACTCAACCCCACCCTGCAGAACAAAGCATGGAACCCGCCGCATGCAGACAAGGGCTGGACCTGATTGACCCTCTGCAGCACTTCTCTCCTTCCTCCCTCTGCTACTCGCCTCCTCCCTCTCCATCCCAAGGACGGGACTCACGTTTATCTCCCGCTTCCGCGATGAAGTCCTGGCTCTCTCCAGTTTGGATCGTGCAAAAGTTCCTGCGGTGAAGCGCGAAAGTTGCAGAAGTATATCCAGGGTGTGCTCGCAGGCTCCGTGTTCTTGTTGTGTGCCTCTTGCTGCTGCTGTTGTTGCTGCTGCTGTTGTTGCCGCTGCTGTTTGTGATCCTGTCGTGTGCTTGTGTTTGCCCAACAGAATCAGGGGTTGAACAGAGAAAGAGTAAAGTGAGAGAGAGAAAAGGCGGGGGGTTCAAAAATTAACACAATCTTGAAAATTGAAAAATAGCCGTAAAGGACAAATCAAATATAACTAGTAACCCATCTGCACCGTTTCACGTCCCGTGCATTGACGGTTTCAATGAATGGGAAACCCGGTTCCTACATAAGACGAAAATGCCTCTCTCTCTTCTGAGGGAAGAACCAAGCAACATCCCCCGGGTTTCGACGAAAAGAAGTTTGTTTGGGAGCAATATCATGGCGAGGGCGCGAGGGTGCTAGACACACTAGGATGGATGCCAGTTCTGCTGCCCAGACGTGATGGGTGCTGGCCCATATATGCCCGCACGGCAGTTGAGGCAAGCACACATGTCGACACATCGGAGGCCAAGAACTGCAGTAAGACTCTGCCCGGCCGACAGCCAAAGTTGGTTGTTTCCGACAAATAATGTGGGATAGGTTGTGGTGCTGCTTGCTCAATACAGATAGCGTCCGCACTTAGTCTACAAGAACTTAGCAGTTCAGAAATTGAGACTCGCAAAAAATCAGGAGCTACGAACTTGAGGACCATTACCGTAGATGACACAAGATAACACACCCCCTGGACCGATTTTCAAAGCTCGTCTACTCCACGACGAAGAGGATGAACTAACGAAACGATACATTTTCGGAAAGCTCTCAACAAGATGGTTTCAACGCCGCCGTTTTCGGCGCTGTGACTGTTCCTGCAGTTGAGAAATCGAGCTTCGAAAATCGGTCAAGGGGGTGTGTTATCTTGTGTCATATACCGTAGTGAGCTCGGTTAAGAACCCCGCACTAAAACCTATATAGTGGCCATTTGTAGCCCACAAGAGCATGATCAGCAAAATAAGAACCCCAGCCTCGGCCGAAACTTGAAGAGGTTCTTAAGTGCGGGCGCCATCTGTAAATAGCAAACGCCCGGTTATCGTGTCCACGACAGACTCGAACAGCTCACGGAGCCTCACAAGCATCGCGCGCCGCAATGCATGGTGCTCCTGTCTTCAGAGCAAAGCAGCAGCAGGACAATAAGATGTAGACTGCTACTTCTGGTCTGTTACTCTGTTGGAGCTACGCGACTCTTGAATCATACTTGGTGTCAAACAAACCTGGTCTCGCTCGTGCTTGTTCGCGTATTATCTATACGTTTATCGTGTGCGCCATCAATCAGAAGGAGCCAGCACACGATAAATGAATTGCAACAGCAGTAGCGCAGCAGTCAATAATCGAATGATAAACTCCCTTGGCAAAACCTAACTAACATATCCTTCTGAAACGCGTCCTTCTTCTGCTGTTGTTCACCCACCTCCCGAAAGGGGCAAAAACGAAGCAGACCCATGGTGGTCTTCGCGTACACAACAGCAATTTGGCGTGGATGCATCCTTTGAGTTGTAGAGGTACACACGGCTTCGAAATACAGGATTGAGAGTCACACCGGAGCCGCAGAAAGAATGGAGTAATTAAGAAGTGGTCCATCTTCACCCAACCAGTCAGTCTGAACAGATATATCTAGACTATAGAGTAGACTATATGGAAAAACACGTGAAGAGACAACAGCAAATAGTCTAACACATAGCTATGAGATAGTCCACACGCTTATCACATCACCGTCGTTGCAATGGAGTGCCTCTGTGAAAGCCATCCATCACTGCTTCTCCCAGTGGGGCTGTCATCATGGACATGGGAAGTCGTGTTCCCACATTTTCCGGTGCAGTTCTGCGACGTGTGTGAGAACGCGAGATCAAGCACGACTGATGTCCATGTTAGGATGGATGGGCAGAGGGCGCAAGCGAGTGACACAAACCTCACCGGTGTTAGTGATTCTTCCCATACTAATCGCCACTCGTCGTTGGTGTGACGCCCCCCGTAGGCACGACCATGCTGCCGGTCCTAGCTGGGCGTGCGGGGTCTCTGCTTGGCTGTTCGTCTTTTAGTCCCCAAGAAATTGATCGTGCGGTGAGACTTTCACATGGTCACGAATTAGTCTACCGTGCAGTCCTAATGCATACGAAAGACCCATACATTATCTGCGTCTCTGCTCTCCTTCATCTGTCGGTACTGCTGTGTGAGTGCACCACTAGGATAAACTCGCAGCAAGTGTACAAGGTTCGATGGGGTAGGGAGAGGAATTGGACACCCAACAGGACACTAGTCGAAGGGGACAGGAGACCACAGGTAACCGGCACGTCACTGGACTGTCGGTTTCGAGGACGACGAACGACGAACAAAACTAAACTTCTGGGGGGGGATTCTTTTGTTCTCATTCACCAGTTCTTCGATTCCCTGCTCATCGCTACGCCACACATGACACATGACATGTTACACTCGAAGATGAATCCCTGGACCTCATCATGTGCAGATTTTGGGACATCGGAGATGGCACGGGGGGGCGCAGTCCACACAAAAAACTTCGGACGACACATGAAAGAGGCCCCGACGAATCAGCAGCATCAGGCAGAAATGCGGGGAGCGGGGACTCGGGTTTTGGCTAGAGTTTGGGAGTTGGGAGAGTATGCTACATACGTTTGTATATTTCCTGAAGATCTGAAAGTCCGTCAAGATAGTGGCAGGTATTCCTGCGGAGATGCCCCCCCTCAGAACACCTTCTCTTCTGGCACACTTGTCACTGCCAAGCTTCTACACATCCAGGCCTAATTCCAGCTATCTGTGTACAAAGTGCGGGCCCGCAGTCAAGAAACGTACCACTTACTTTATGCGAAGAAAACTCAAATACTTAAATGTTAACGTTCACGCTTAAAAACAAAATCAAACACCAGCAGCAGAAGCGCGTAGCACTTCTCTTAGACTACGAATGTAGCAGTTTCGTACGTTGAGCGTCTTCGCTCGCCACCGCTGTAGGACCACAGCCGGACAGCAATGGGTTTTTTCCCTCTGAACGAACTACCTGTCAGAACGGAGAAACCACTACAAAGCAGTCTCGCGGAACGCAAAACCTCAACATGGATCGAGCCCCAAGGCAAACCATGCAATAACATGTCACACCTCCTGAAAAGTGCTGTGAAGCGCTACCCGTGACGCTTTCACGAATCGCCCAAGGTTTTCGCAAGGAGTAGTCAGCACCAACTTCTTCAAGCGGAACGCCATTAGTGTCGAGATCAGCAACATTTTGGGCCCACAGCCGTTCGATTCTTCTCACCCCCCCCTCCCCACCACCCTCGAGGCAGTAACACAGTGCTTACAACTGTCTCAAGAAGTGAAAGCACCAGAAAATAAGTTGAGTCATACGCAGCTGTCATCCGTACGCAAGGAAGTAAGCACAAGATGCCGAACACCCTTAGTAGGATGCAGCGCACCCTTCATGCGACTCGCCGAATATCTCACGGTGCTTCGCGCTTGGTGATGTGAGAGCCTGGTCCGGTGAGAACCCNTCAGCTGGATGCTGGTTCGAATCTCCTGGGGTGCACACTTTTTCTCCTGACTTGGACATTTTCCCATGGACACAATGTGTGTCAGTCCCGAGAACACCTCTTCGAGTCGNCCCCCCCCCCCCACCATTGTACCCGCGGTTGAAACCCAGCTCTTGAACCACTGTCATTTGCTTATTGTTAAGGAGGGCCCGATTCGCAAGCTATGGCGTCAGCTGGATGCTGGTTCGAATCTCCTGGGGTGCACACTTTTTCTCCTGACTTGGACATTTTCCCATGGACACAATGTGTGTCAGTCCCGAGAACACCTCTTCGAGTCGATCCTACACAGAACCTTGTGACACTTCCATCGAATTACCCATCCTGGCCACAAGAGGTTCCCAGTTGAGGGTAAATTCTGTGGGTGGAGAGTGTTAAGGAGGACCCGATTCGCAGGGTATCATCCAAAATAATTTTACCTGAATCGGTACACCTGCGCATTGTTGTGGTTGCTTTAGCGATGCCGCTCGCTTGTAGGACGGCCTCTCCCTCCCTCTCGCCCGGCCCTCGATGTGAAAGTTCCCATTCTGAGGCATCATCTGTCTGCCTAAATTAGAAGCCTTCGACTTACTTACCCAGATTCTTTCCGCGGCCCGGCCCAAATTGATTGTTTTTCCACCAAACATCATAGAGTACAAAACCATTTGTGCTCCTTTATCCCATATAAACAACGAACGAAAGTGCACCTTTTCTTCCTCTCGACATCTCCGTTTGAAGTTTGAAGAACCAAGGCGTCGCATTCGCAGGCTAGGCAGCCGGCCGGAGTCTGCATGAAGACAATCCGTGTCTCGAGCAATCAGACTCGCTCGACAACTTCTGACTTGTTGTTGTTGGCACCATTGCCACGACAAGACTTGTTCGTTTATGGATGTTTTGGGGCATCGCTTACACGTCTACCTCCACTAAATTGGATCCAACGGTTTGGATTGCGATGACTTTCGTCTGAAGAAACGTAAAAGTTGTTGATTGTTGCAATGAAAAATTCTCCAAGAACATGAGTCCCCGCTCTCAAGCCCTTTCCTCCAACGACGAAAAGGTCATGACTCCTTCAATTACGAGGATGCAGGCGAAACCGCTGTCTGCGGACAAGACATGAGGGCTATTGCACATGTATCATGAGGTAACATGCATATAAAACCGGGTGTGTTCATCGTTTCGGCACGAACTCAACCCTTAGACTACCTCCCTTACAGCATGTTCCAGGCCACGGATCCCGATCCCGGGATCCCCGCACGGATACTACGACGACAGCGACTTCAGGGGCTTGGTGAAGTAAAGTCTCGCCTCTGCCACGACAAAGGTTTAAGTGCGCCTTTTACAACGGGTTGGTTGTGATCCACGCCGCCGTCTTGTTGATGCCCCCTAAACATGAGAGCGATGGTCTCGTTTTGTTTTGTTGCCCCACCACCCCGTTGTTGAAGCTGGACCACATCGATACTGACCTTAGTTTTCCAGACCGTAGTGACAACTGTCGTGGTTAGACTGCCGGGCAGGGCGATACGAAATCCTATACGTATCCTGATTGTGATACGTCCGACTTTGCGTACAGAGGTGATAGTGCGGACGAGCAAAGACGAAGTCAACTTGTTCTGCAACCCCTGCTGGTGGCCAAGCAATAGTCTAGGTGAAGAAGTCCGTTCGCCGTATCCCGACCCTCGGGGTCACAAGTGGCAAGCGAGCAGTCCAAGAGATTCTGGGCGCGAGGGGGGGAGGCCGAGGAGATCAATAACAACGGGTTATGGATCCCTTGGTCTCCGAGAGGGACTATGCCTCGTGCATCGATGATGTCAACACGACTTTGACTCAAACACAAGGTAAAAGAGAGAAGCAATCTCTACCCGTACGCCAACCTTTCAACAAAGTGACGCATGAACATGTTTCGGTAAATATAGCAAAAAATGTGGCGAACGTCATCTTCCATAGCTGCTTCAGGGGACGTCGTCATTTCGAATCCATCGTTGAAGTGCCCTCCCCCAGTTATTCGTCGGTTGTTGAGGTCGTTGCATAGTCTTATCGACATTTTTTTTGTCAGCACATCTTTTACGCGAACGTACTTCACCAATACATCGCGCTCTTCGCCAAGCTTGTTGTTACCCCAAGTTCGCCACAAACAATGGTGGTACCTCCCCTCAGGTCCAAACGAGGTTTCTCTTGAACTTCATTCACTTTAAAATTTTCTCAACAACGTGATCCTTTCTTTGTTCTTGCGACTCTCCCGGGGTTCCACGGCAAGGCCAACGGCTCCGACGTTTAGTTTGTTTATCACCTATTAGTGGGTAGACCGACCCTATTTTGCAGGTGGGACACGCGACAGGTTAATACATACACTTGTTTGAGCAGTATTCCTCCGAGGAGAAACACGTGTCTCTGCGGTACATATAGTAGGATCGAGAGGGTGTGGTTGTTTATGGAACAATCTTCAAACTGTGGTGGGTAAATTTTCCACTACAATGCACACAGAATAAATTCGCTACCACTGCTACTTTACTACGGCTGATCTCTAGACTACATCGTATGCATAGAAGACTTCGCCTATCGATGAGATTGAGATTGTTGTGCTTCATGAACCCCTTCTCGTTATTGTATTTATTTTAAATGGGTTCCCACCTCTCATCCTATCTTCTTTTGCGTTCTCCACACCAGATCTCTCTCCGATGGCGTGTGCCCTTCTCTCTACCTCAGCTGTTGGGAAGGACGGGGTTGTACAGAGAGAGGGGTTCCTCTTGCCTTCGACTACATGCCCGACCAAAACTGACCTCCACATCCATCCATCCATGTCGAGAGTACATGCCGACCGCAAGTCGCGGAAGATACCACCCCCCTAGGACATTTTTTATGAGCAAAGAGAGCTCGATTGCTCGAGTTCTGCACGACGAAGAGATGCCACACTCAAATGGTATATATTTTCTGCACGGTTCTGGAAGAGATGGTTCCGTCGCCGCCATTTTTCGGCGCAGTAGCTGTCTTTGCTGCATAGTGTACGGTTGGGTCAGTCCATGGGGTGCGGTGTATCGTATGCGACCCCTTGCTGTATGATGGTATGCATGCACGCGCCACGCAAAACAGGCATTTTTGTTTGCTTTCCGCTCTTCATATTTTGCTTCCTGACACCGCTTACTTACTGCTGCTCATCCCTGAATTTAAGGCAAAAAAAGCTAATAATGAGACGTTGCGGGGCCAAAGGGTTGGAAAATGAAAATAGTCGCGCAGGCTACCAGAGCTTCCTCTCTCTCACCGAAACTACTGTGGAACAGTCAGCGTAAGGCTTACAAAAACTCAAAATAAGCCCAGTCTCCAGTCGGTTTCACTCCACTTACTGAAAAGACTTCACCTCATCCCTGTCGACTGAGGTTATTATCATATCTCGAACGGGTAGTCTTCCTGTGAAGTTATCTTTGCTTTCTAGAAATGACACCAGCAACGACGAACGGGCGGGTAAACAATAATTCTGGAACAACACCCCGCATGGATCTTGGCGTCGTCAGCCTTTGTAAAAGCGCGATCAAACTCAAACGGAGCCGACGATAAAACTTCAACCCCACTTCTAGTCAGACCCAAAACCACGAGACTGCTATCGACACACCCAAGGCGTTGGCAGGGGAACAGGCGGGCGGGGCTTCAGCAACAAGCGTACACTTAGGGAACACCCTGCCAGTCGTAGGGCTACTGCAAAGCAAGGAGAAGGCGACGACGAGGGGTGGTACGCTACGGAAAAGAGGAGTGTGCGTGGTAGCTCCCAAGTGAGTCATCGAGACAGCAGCAGCAGCAGAGCCGTAGCTTCGCAATTGCGGAGACAAAGCCCTCCGCACACAACAGGGCCGTCAGCGGCAGGGAGTCAGCCGTCATGAGCGAGCCCCGGCTGGAGCGTCGTGCTGGTTGCAAGCGTGCTCGGAGAACAACGGCGGTGTCGATCGCCATGAGAGCTGTGCTGGTGCTGCTGATGGGTGCGCCTCACATCCCTACCCTCGACGCCCTCAAACTCTCGTCGATCAGCGAGGAACGTGGGCACCTGGGCGTGGGACTGCTGCGCGCTGTGGAGGTGGTGCGGGGCCGCTACGAGCGTGCCTGGACGCTCGTCTCTGCCCCCGAGCCCACTGCTGAGGACCTCGACACCGCGCTGGGGTTGCTACAGGTACATGTGCGTGTGCATTTCTCTCTGCTGCCGGTGCTGCAACCTGAAACACCCTGGTGATGTCGTTGGGATTTTGATTTTCATATTGGTGTTTATACAGGTGCTTGGCCCACAATTTTTGCCTTCGTTGCACCTGCGGTCCACATGACGTCTCATCCTGGTCTAGCATTAAACATGCACGCATGCGCAGACCACTTCGGTGTGCGGGTGAGCATCACCGCACAGCACCGCAGCGCATTGCCGGCGACCGCTCGTGCAGGGCAGGCCGTGTTCACGTGCGGTCTGGATGCCAAGCTTGCTGTAAGTAGTGCAGGTGTACTCTTGCAGTCTCAACTGTACCTCAGCAGTGCCCGTAACGGACGGACACGTGGTGAGCCACGCAGGACGTTTGCTGCGTCGTGTCCATGTGGCACACAAACCTTCCCCAGGAAGAAACCAACATTATCTGACCACGGGTCGTCTCTCTCTCTCTCTCGCTTGTGCCGGCACTTTGTTCCCCGTCCTTCAGGAGAACGCCAAGCAGTGGGAGAGTCTCGAGCCCGCGGTGAAGCTCTGGACGGAGCGAGACAACGACGAGCCTCCGCGGCGCAACAGCAGCAGCGGCAGCGGTTCAGCGGCAACCGTCAAGTCTTCCACGCAACGCTCATCCACGACGGCTGCGACTGGCAGTAGCAGCAGCAGTGGGCAGCAGCAGCAGCAGCAGCAGCAGCAGCAGGGGGGG